GCGCTGAGTTACGGACTTAAGCATACATACTATAATGATCAGACCCTTTTGTGAAGTAAGTTTACACAAGACAAGTGGGGTCCTTTCTGCTAATGCTTCTACTAAATGGGTCGGGTATGAGACAACATAGTCCGGCTAATCAATCTCCTGTTGTATAGATTGCATCTTCTTCTGAACTGCTTCCTGAAACTCTGCAGTACTGAGAATATCATTACTTTTGGGGCTCTTCGAGACTGTCAGGGAAAGAATGACATTTTACCAACTTGACAATCGAAGCGTTGAACATGGTTCATGAGAATACCTATCACTAGTTAGTTCGTCTCACTGTGAATGTGGTAAAAAACCGAAGGTCACAATATTAAAATGTCCGCAATATTACAGACAATAATATACGTAGGCCATGGGAAAGAATGTAGGTTAAAGAGTGAAACTTCCGCCAGGCAAAATTACCTTAAGTTCACGAGGATTGATGGCGTTCTCTGTAGAGCCCGTTGACCACAGGCGTTTTATGAGGTCGGCGAAACATTCCGCAATAACACCCTTTGAACCTAGACTGCTGACGCGATTTAACTCCTTTTTATATTTGTCCTTAAGGAAGAAATCCATCAGCTGGGGTACATTGGAAATGCACTGAAGTGCGCTATTCATGTAACAAGTGTTTCCCAAATTGTGCAAACCAACAACACCCCGTTGATGCCCTCCAGACCTGCCAAAACTCAAAGATATCGCAGGCGGATGCAGTAAAGGACGTCGCTATAATATTAAATAAACAAATAAAAAGTTAACCTGACGCTATTCATATACGTAATGCTGCAGAATTAACAATGAGATGACTATACTCAGAGGTTTATCCCCAATCCTTACAACAAACAAAAAAATTGATAATTAAAAGATTCAGGGACACAGGATGATGCCACACTATGTAGGCGGTAAGATATATTTGACTAAATGCTAAAAATTATATCCTGTGCACATACACCACAAACTACGAAGAACGAACTGTCCACGCAGCGCTACCTCAGCCGCTATTGAATCGAACGTTATGGCAGAC